ATAAAAATCCAATAATTATTTCTAAAATTATCATTTTTGGTGATCACTTGTTGAACTTTTATATTTAAGCTAAGATATAGCTAAGGGAATTTTTGCATATTTTTACAAAATTATTTAGTATTCTTAAGGCTAAATTGTATAATTGCAATATTAGCCTCTTTTAAGATTTAATTGCGTTTATGTTCATGAAAATTAAGTCCAGTACTTTTAAATGGTTAATTATATGTCATAAATCATTTTAGTACTTTTAATTTATTTCCAGAAATCAATTTACTATTTTTATAATTTTAAATAGGGAAAAATGGCTATTTAAATGATAGCCCAATTTCATTCCAATTATAGCCTGAAATTGAGCCCAAATCAGACCCAATTTCCCAACCCAATTGCAACTCATACCTGACCCCCTAACCCAATTTAAATGACCCAACCCGGACTCCCCACCTAACCCCTTTAATCCCAGCCGTTGATCGTTTAGATCAACGGCTCCCATTACCCCTTTCCTTTTTAACCCAAACGACCCCTTTACCCTACCTCATTCCTCACCAACCGCCGCCTATGAATCCCTCTTCTCTCTCAACTCTCTCTGAAACTCTTACAAACCCTAGCCGCCACCATCAAACTACACCCTAATCCACCCTAAGCCCTGCCTAATCCATGGCCCCTCGTGGTTACTTGAGACGTGTAGGGACCTCCTATGGCTCCTGGGTGTTTGTTCTTGTGGTTTCACGGTCAGACCTTGAGGGGATCTGGTCCAGTCCTTGTTCGATTTCAGTTCGTGGCTCTTCTCCGGTCATCCTTGACCTTTCTCCGGCCAGCCATGGCCGTTCGAGTCAGATCCTTGACTCCCCTGGTTAGATCAGTAACTTTCAGGGCCTTTCTCACCTTTTCTGGGTTTTTCGAAACCCTAATCTTTAAGATCTCTCAACTTTCTTTCAGATCTGCTTTAGATCTGTACTTGCTATGACTTTCTTAAGTATTTCTCGAAGGTTCTTTAACCTGCTTTCAAAAACGACTCTTCACTTTTTTTTTCGATTAGGGTTTTCCTTTAATTTATTTAAAAAAAAATCTCTTCTCTGATTTTAACGTGTTTCTAATTTTGCTATGTTTTGTTCATGTTGTTCTTCCATCTGACTTAGCATGTTAAAACCCTAATTTTATTTGGGTCTAAATCGAGTTCCGAAGCTGTTTGTTAGATGTGTGCTTGTTTGTTTAAATTCTTGCTTGACATGTCTGTTTACCATCTTTTGAACTCGATTGTTGTTGAAAACCCTAGGTCTTTGGGTCTGAAATTGTTTGTTTGAACACTTGACTCGATTGAAAGTTCTTGTTCCAGACCCTCTTTTCTTTATGTGACTCATCTGATTTTTACTATCTTTCAACTCGACTATGGCTGAAACCCTAACTTTTCAAAAGGTTTCCTCACCCATTACTATGAGACCTTTACTTGTTTGACTCTCTTCTTCACTTAGGCTATATGTGTGAGCCCTGACTATCTATTGAATCCTATGTTTATTGCCACTATTATTGCATGTTGTTTCTTCTGCCAATGTGCTTGGCCTCGCATGTCTAATGTCTTCCGTTCACTCTGTTTATATACTAAAGTGCAGAAGCATGTTTCTTCTTTGATTGACCCTAATCGTGTGACTGATTTCAAAGCTTTTCTTTTATGAACCCTAATTTCACTCGCCTGTTTAGAATTGATTGATTCTTTTCCCTTTACTGAAATATTTACCTTGCTGAATCCTTTCCAAAAATAAGCATATTTTCGTACTCAGACTTGATTGTTCACTACATGCTTTTACTACTCCTTTTATGGCAATAATCAGTCTGTCTCTAAACTGATTTCTTTCCTTATTTGAATATGTTACTACCCGTTAAACAGTGATTCCTTAATTAAAGGGAATCACTTGTATAATTGATTCTGACTGTTGATTGTTTCCATATTTGTATTAAACTTTACTTATTACCCCTCATTCACTCATTTCAAAAAACTATAAATACCCTGCACCCCTCTCCTTTCAAACGGACGAACAAACCACCTGAGTACAGAACACACACTTCACTCAAAACTGTCTCTCTTTTCTCTATTACTACTTGTGTTGCTGCCTTGTCTAGCCGGCTGAAAGCCAAGGCTAGGCTGTGGAAATTTGCTTACTTTTCTTTCTGCATTCGCTTCTTACTGGTATGTCCTAATTAATCTTCAAGCATCAAAAACAACATGTCTCTTTACTATTGCCTTCACTCTTGCATGTTTCCTGCTTATGTTTAATCAAGTTTCATCCTAAGCATGCTGTAAATCAATGTGATCCTTTATGTGTAAATACTCTGTCAGTCATTTGATTATGTGATTATGACTCATGAATCCCAAACCCCCATATCCCATATGTGCGTGTATTCTCTGGTTGGTTTGAGGGCATGTCAGCATTAGACATTGCTGTGCATGACCCAAACCTGACCCTCCCTGGGGTCATATGCTTCATATCCCCTCTATGTGTTGTGTTCTCTGGCTGGCTTATGGGCATGACAGCACCATCTATTGCTGTGCATGCCCAAACCTAACCCCTTCCTAAGGTCATATGCTCCCTGCAATGAATTCCCAAACCCTTGACCCCTTTGTATAAAAATGTTGGTTCTATGTAGTGTTAGTTTTACTACTACTATTTTCCAATCACCCTTACCCCTCTCTATTCTCCACTCAGTTTTAAATCTCTGTCTCTGCACTTCCACTATACTCTTAGACTTAGGTTCTGCCCCTCTTGTGTGAGCCTTGCCTCGGGACCTATGAGCTCCCTCTGAACTTGGACACATAAGGGCTGGCCCTTCCACACTGCACTCATCTCTATCTGGTTATGCAAACTTGGGTGTAAGCACTGCCCGGGGTCCCTTGAGACCCTTAGGGAACTTTGACACACTCAAGTCTGAGAAAGGCTTTGAAACAAGTGGCATTTGAGGTGTTTTGTTCCATAACTCAGAGAGGAAGTCAGAATCAGGCTTCCTATGGTTGTAACTTCTTATTTTGCATATTTTTGATGTAATTCAGCAATTGGTCTGTAATAATTTGTAAACAGATATTGGGGTTGGCTAGTGGAAAGGGATGGGTAACTATGAATGTTTAGCTATTAGAAGGGTAGAAAACATGCCTATAGGACCTGTTTTAAATTCCGCATGTTTTTAATTCTACATTTAGATAACATGCCTATAGGATCTGCTTTAAATGCTGCATGTTTTAT